TTTTATTGTGAACTTGTAAAAATATAATCAATTATTTTATATGCATTGGGATCGAGGTATTAAAATGAAGTTTATTTAACTAATTAAATATATCAAATTATTGTTTGGAACTTGTTGTTTTTTAGTTTGAATCTTAATAATGATTATTTACATGCATATTTATTCTTAACTGAATTTGAACGTAAAAAAAATAAAATTTAACCAATTGACATTGCGAGCCTCAATGCCTTCATAATTGAGATGTTTTTTTTCTTCTGAACTTAGAGTATTGAGATATTGCAATGATGTTCTAACTTATTGTGAGAACTTACACATGGGATCAAATCCAAATTTTCTAAATATTTCAAAACCACGGATATAAAACAAATATTAATTATAAATAGTTAAAAAAACAATTAGTATTATTGTTTGGATGTGTAAACAATTTTTTGGTGTAAATAGTAAACCGACATTATTATTGAAAAAGTAAACCATTCTTATGGATGATAACTTATGATAATTAATAATTCTCCGTAAAACTACAGTTCCTCTCCTCTCTCTGCAATGCCTTAATGGCCCAATGGATTACGGAAAACAAAAAAAATTAAATCACAAAATTTAAGAAGGTAACGGAAGCAGGAAGAGGAGACTATTAAAAAAGAAAGAAAAAATTCCTAACTGCCGAAAAGTGCGGAGATGCTTCGACGGAGTACGTGGCAGGGGTGGTTTTTTCAAACCCCTTTAATATATTGTAAGAGATAAGATATAAAGAGGCTATCAATAACTACGGAACTTTGACAAACAGGGAACAAGAAGGTACTATTGACTATTTTGTGTTGTGCAATTATACTGTTTTATGTTGACGCAAGGATTGTGAACTATAGGGCCTAAGTTCAAGTCCTTAAGCCTTCTTTCTTAAGGAGGATCTTAAATTGTTGTGATTGGCTGATTTGAATTTAGGTAGTTAGTGAGGAGTTATTAGTTATTGAGGAGTTATTAGTTGTTAAGGATATGCTGGGAATTATGAATAATATAAAATATGAATAATAAGCCTTCTTTCTCTCTCTCGACGTAACAAGATACTCTCCTCAACATGTACATCACCAGCCGTCTCCACCGCCGGGGATTCTTTGTCTATGTTTTCCGGTTGTCCATTCGTCAGCAGCATCCGGCCGTCTCCGCCGTCAGCGCCGTAGCTTCCTGTTCGCCGAAAACCTAAAACCAGTTTCCCTTTAGGCCGCGCTCTGTCCCCACTCCCCAGTGTTTCCCGGCGTTGCGGCGTCCCACATCAGCAGCTCACCGGCTTCCGCAGCCTGTTGCCCTGTTCCCCGTCGCACAAGCAGCAGCCTGATCGTGCAGCTTTCCGGCCCCGGTGTTCTTCTTCATCGCACGAGCAGGGGCAACCTATTCCTTTTTTCCCCTAGCGCTTCCCGGACGTGATTTCCGTTGGTCATCAATAAGTTTCTGGTCATTATCAACATATCAATAGGTTTCAGGTTATTATTAATAAGTTTCGGGTTTCATTCAATGGGTCATTATCAGGTTAATTTATTAACATTTTTGGGACAATTGTTAACAAGGTAACTTAATGTTATTAACGTATATGCAAGGTAGCATTAAACGTTCATTTGATATGTTATTAACAAAATACAAAAATAGTGTCACCTGTTCATATATATTGTTTTGGTTGTTTATACAATTATTATCAACGAGGTCTTATCATTTTTCAACGTAAAATTATAAAAAGTTAACAATGAACAATTATTTATTTCAATATTTTTATATCGTTATTAACAAATAAAAGTTACCGTTTTTACAATAATAAACCACATTATCAACCCATATTATTGTACATTATTAACCGACCATGCAACTATTATTAGTTATATTATTGCAATTATTAACACACTTACATTCTTTAATAATATTGAACAACGTTATGAAAACATCTTATTAACCGGTAATGTCAATATTTTCGATACTGTTATTAACAAATAAAAGGTACAGTTTTAACAATAATACACCACGTTATCAACCCATATTATTGGACATTATTAACCGATTGGGCGATTATTATCAATTGTATTATTTCAATTATTAACGCCATCGCTATGAAAACATGATCACCAGTAAAAATCAATTTTGTCATCCCTTGTTAACATTTCCAAACAACATTATTAAAATCATTATCAACCAAAATTATCCATCAACGTTTTAACACACTCAAGTTACATTTTTTAATAAGATTAACATCATTATTAAAATATCTTATTACCCTACTAACCGGCCACGAGACAATTATTAATAATATTATTGAAAATATTAACTAGTAGTACAACGACATCACGAGTACATATCAACTTTTTTCCATCTCTTATCAACATTTCTATTTACGTTGTTAACATAAAAATAATATCAATGAAAAGCAATGCCAACGAGAACAATCAACCTTTCAACAATATATACAACCCAAACAACATAAAAAGCTCACACCAAACTCAAATGGAACTGCACGTTCCATGTTTGCGCCGTATGGTCAACCAAAAGACGTCGTTCATGGCTGGATTATTGGGGTGGCTAGAATAAAGGATTCGTCGGGAAACTGGATGGCAGTGGACCACAAAAGCAGCTGGGGTGTCGGAGGAATTCACAGCAGTTGCGGCGGAGAGGATGGACTACGAACGAGGGAGTCACGGTCGGACTACGAACGAAGGAGTCACGGCCAGACGATGGATCAGTTCCGTTGAAGATCGGCGAGGAGGACGGCGGTGGTGGGAAGTTTTAGGGTTGGGAGGAGAATTGTATTTTTTCAAAAATGGTTTTCGCCATTTTAATTTTAATTAATAATATCATTAAATATTTTGTAGATTCCTCTCTTACCCTTTAACGTATTAGGTAGGTAGTTACCCAATGATTACTAATCATTCTCTCTCTCCTTCTCCTATTGGTTGAAAGGGGTTTAAGATATTTCTTAAAAAAGAGGTCTTAAGGACCTGATCTAACCCGGAACTATAGGAGGCTATATTTGAAAAGTCAGTGCAAGAGCAAGGTTATTATGTAACTATGATTTAACCATTTCATATTGTTAAAACTGATTACCATTTGGGTCCGATACTCAATGTATTCCTGGTCCAACTGGATGATAGGTACGAGTATTTTCTTAAAACATTGTGTTTAAAGGAAGAGGGCGTACACTTGCTAATTTGTCCATAAGAAGGAGACTTTATATAATACGACATCAACGTTTTCCCTTATTATGTTCTTATCCCGAATTCATATATTTCTTAATCTGAATATTCTACTCCTAACATCAAACTTGATTTCCACATTTAAGCAATTATCAGCTCACGCCTTTTCACACTATTCATTCCCATCTTCTTCGCTCATTAGGATTCCACCTAGCTGTTTCACGATTTTGTCAAAAGAAAATTACTTCTATGGCAAGTTGAGTTGTGCGAGAAGCGTAAAGTCAATGCATATATACCAAAGAAATTCCTTCTGCTGAATGGTATTATTTGAATTTCCTTTAACAACCTTCAGTTATAGTTCTAAAATGTGAATTGTTCACTAATATATTGACCTTGATTGATTTCAGGGTATCCAACTGTCAAATTCTATCATTTACTGCAAGAGAAATTTTACAATGCTATATAGTATTGGTGCTATAGGATTTTGCCTTTATGGTACAACTTAAAATTGTACATTTACGTTATGGTACAACTTCAGATTGTAACTATACTTTTTGTACAAATTCTTTTATGATACAACTTTAACTTGTACCTTTATGTGATGGTACAACTTCAAGTTGTAAAGTTGTACCACAACATAATGGTACAAATTGTTTTATGGTACAACCTAAACTTATACATTTAATATTATGGTACAACTTTAAGTTGTACATTAAAGCACCAATACTATATAGCATAGTAGAAGTGAACTCCCCTGCAAAAAGAGAAATTTTACAATGCTACATAGTATTGGTGCTATAGGTTTTTGCCTTTATGGTACAACTTAAAATTGTACATTTATGTTATGGTACAACTTTAGATTTTACCTATACTTTTTGTACATATTCTTTTATGGTACAACTTGAACTTGTACCTTTATGTGATGGTACAACTTCAAGTTGTAAAGTTGTACCATAACATAATGGTACAAATTGCTTTATGGTACAACCTAAACTTATACGTTTAATGTTATGGTACAACTTTGAATTGTACATTAAAGCACCAATACTATATAGCATAGTAGAAGTGCTCCTGCAAAAATTGACATTTGTAAGATCACAACCATTTTTTGTATAATTTGGTTTAGAAAAATATATGACTATCGACGGCCTTGTACACCGATAGTGCAATGCAATGCAAGGTAGTTTTCTTCTAGCTATGGTAGGAAGGAGTAGGACCCTGCCGCCCGCAAGTGGGAAAAGAAGAAGAAAACCATCAAAATGGCCGAAAGGTCAAAAGGAACGTAAAAGCGCGGCGCTCCTTTTCATGCCCACTGGACACTGGTTCTGTTCATTTGGCCGTTCTGGAAGAAATGAATTAGGAAACAGATAAACAAAAGACGCCATGCATAGTTAAGTCGATTAAAGACAAATTCACCCGCTGAAAATCAGAATCAATTACCCCAATTGATTGATCCGAGTATATAGCCGAACCGAACCAACCAACCAACCGAGTCGGAAAACCGTTGCCCATGCCACGTTACTGCTTTTTCTCCCAAAAGCTGGCCACAACATAAAGGGAATACCTTCGTTTACAAGATGAGAATATATATAAACCTATTATCATCCCAAGACCAGTAGGCCACCACCATTGTTGATTTCTTGTCCAAATCCCAGACAGGAGTCCCGCAATCGAGGCCATTCCAACACCACCAGAAAAGAAAGGAAACAGAACAAACCTAGAAATGTGTCTTCGGGTTTGCTGTTGGAAAGAACACAGTTTTAGATCATGACAATGATGGTGGTTCGGGTTGTCCTTCCATTCTAAAGCCAACCCTGAGAGAAGAAGAGGGAAATGGCATCAAACAACAGCTTGGGGGATCTGCAATGGCTTCTGCAAGCTATCAAGTCCTCATCAGAAGAAGAAAGCCTCCAACTTCACAGCATTTCTTTCCACCTCTCTCACCCAACATCAGGCTGTTTCCAAGTGACACAGAATTCCCTCCATGTCAACATCTCCATAGATACCTTTCCTCTCTTCTCCGAGATTCTCTCACACCTCTCAACCTCCAACAACAACATGCTGAAATCCTTAACAAACATGGAGTTCCATCGAGTCGAGTGGGGGCTAGAGCAACTGCTTCACCTCAAAACCCTACTCCAAAACAGCTCAAGCTGCATTAGCCAACTCGTCTTTCGAAGGAACAGGTTCTCCACAGAATCCCTGAGCGAGCTATGCGAGATACTGAAGAGAAATTCTGTGATCAAAGAAGTAATGCTGGCCGAATCTCGAATCGGCCCTTCTGGTGCTACCCTTTTGGCCAATGCCCTCATGGTGAATGAAAGCTTGGAAGAGTTGCAGATATGGGAGGACTCAATTGGGTCAAGAGGAGCTGAGGAGCTCTCCAAAATGATTGAAGTCAACTCCACGCTTAAGCTGCTCACCATCTTTGACTCTCACTCCTTTACAGCAACTCCATTGATCTCAGCAGTTTTGGGGAGGAATAGAGCCATGGAAATTCACATTTGGTGTGGGGGACAAAATGGGGAGAAGATCTCAAAGGTGGTGGAGTTTGCCAATGGTACCCTCAGGGTTTATAGTAAGCTGGATGTTTCAGGATCATGCAGAGTTGCTTGCTCATTGGGGTGGAATTCGACGGTGAGATCGTTGGACTTGACCGGGGTAAGGCTGAAATCGCGGTGGGGGAAAGAGTTCCGGTGGGTTTTGGAGCAGAATCGAAGCCTTAGGGAAGTGAGGCTGTCCAAGACTTGTCTCAAGGACAAGGGAGTTCTGTATGTTGCAGCTGGGCTTTTCAAGAACCAGGCATTGGAAAGTTTGTATCTTGATGGGAATTGGTTCAGTGGGATTGGAGTTGAGCATTTGTTGTGCCCTTTGACCAGATTCTCTGCCTTGCAACTTCAAGCCAACACTAGTCTCAAATTTGTAGCTTTTGGAGGAAGGAGGACCAAAATTGGGAGAGATGGAGTTGCTGCAATCATCCAGATGCTGACAAGCAATGAGACCGTGACTAAGCTAGGCATATACGATGATGAGAGCTTGAGACCGGACGATATAGTGAGAATCTTCAGAAGCTTGGAGAGCAATGCGAGTTTGAGGTGCTTGTCTTTGCAAGGCTGCAAAGGAGTTCAAGGAGAGTTGGTGCTGAATGCAATCATGGAGACATTGCAGGTCAACCCTTGGATTGAAGAGATTGATCTCTCAAGAACACCATTGCACAATTCGGGTAATGCTGATGGTGTTTATCAAAGGCTAAGCCAAAATGGGAAGAAGACTGAACCAGAAACGGAATCAGATGGAAACTTGCTCAAGGACATGCCACTAACCGAACCAAAGAGCTGTCGTGTTTTCTTGTGCGGGCAAGAATATGCAGGTGATCATCATATCATGAAAACCTCCCTTAAAAACTGACTGCATCTTTCTATAGAATTGGGGATGAAAATATTTCAACGTGGTTGTTTCATTTTTCTGGTGTGTAGGAAAGACCACCCTTTGCAATGCAGTGGCACAGAACTTGAGCTGCTCTTCTTCAAACTTAATTCCTTACATGGACCACGTGAGGACCCTTGTGAACCCCGTTGAGCAAGCTGTGAGAACAAGTGGATTGAAGATAAAGACACTCAGAGATGAAGAAATCAAGATCTCGATATGGAACCTCGGTGGCCAGCACGAGTTTTACGCTTTGCATGACCTCATGTTCCCCGGTCATGGCAGTGCATCCTTGTTTATAATCATCACCAGCCTCTTCAGAAAACCCAGCAACCGAGAACCAAAGACACCAGGTGAGGTAGAAGAGGACCTGCAGTACTGGCTAAGGTTCATAGTTTCCAACTCAAGAAGAGCACTCCAGCAGTGCATACTTCCTAATGTCACCATAGTCCTTACACACTTTGACAAAATCAGTCAGCCATCTCAAAACATTCAGCTGATAGTCAATTCGATACAGCGAATAAGAGACAAGTTCCAAGGATTTGTGGAGTTCTATCCAAATGTGTTCACAGTTGATGCTAGGTCCTCGGCATCGGTCAACAAACTCACCCAGCATCTTCAAAAGACGAGCAAGACCATTCTCCAGAGAGTGCCAAGAACTTACCAGCTTTGCAATGATCTAACCCAGATTCTTTCAGATTGGAGGGCAGAGAACAGTAACAAGCCAGCAATGAGGTGGAAAGAATTTGATGAGCTTTGCCAAGTGAAGGTACCTGGATTGAGAATTGGGTCAAGGCATGATAACAAGGAGAAGGTGGAAATGAGAAGGAAGGCTGTTGCTAGTTGCCTGCATCATATGGGGGAGGTGATTTACTTTGATCAGTTAGGATTCTTGATCCTAGATTGTGAGTGGTTCTGCTGTGAGGTACTCGGGCAACTCGTGAAACTAGATGTTAGGAAGAAGCCAAGCTCAATGGAGAATGGGTTCATCAGCAGAAGGGAACTTGAAAAGATTCTGAGAGGAACTTTACAAGGCCAGATAATTCCTGGGATGGGTTCTTCAAAGATACTTCAAACCTTGGAAGCTGGCGATTTGGTGAGAATGATGCTGAAACTTGAGCTGTGTTATGAACAAGACCCAGCAGATTCGAACTCTCCACTGCTGATTCCTTCCATTCTAGAGGAAAGCAGAGGAAAACCACAGAAGTGGCTGATCGTTAGCTCACCTGAGTGCCTCTATGTCGGGCGCCATCTAGAGTGTGATGATTCAAGCCACATGTTTCTTGCACCAGGATTCTTCGCACTTTTGCAGGCAATCAATCTTCTAACTCTTTTACTTCAATTCCAAGTCTTGGTAATCTAAGAATCAAGCAGATCCATCATTTCTCACCTTCGAGTTATTTCACAAAACACATGCAGGTTCATCTTCATAACAGAATCATGGCATTAAGGAACCAATATGGAGGAGCAACTTATAGTCCTGAGAAGTCCCTCATCTCAATAAATATCAATGGCATCCACATTAGAATTGAACTGGGAGGACAGCTTGGCTATTACATAGACATCCTTGCTTGTTCCACAAGAAACCTTACTGAGACTCTCAGACTCTTTCATCAGCTGATAATTCCAGCCATTCAGAGCCTTTGCAATGGCGTCACCTTGAACGAAAGCATCATAAGGCCTGACTGTGTGCAGAATCTTATCGCTCCAAGGTACAGGAAAACACAACATGTACCCATTCAGCAGCTGAAGCAAGCCCTCCTGTCAGTTCCTGCTGATGGAATGTATGATTATCAGCACACATGGGATCCTGTTTCAGACTCCGGTCGTCTCATTTTACAATCAACCTTCAATTTGGCTCGGGATCTCTTATCTGATGATGACTTCAGGGAAGTGTTGCACAGTAGATACCACGACCTCTACAACCTTGCTGTGGAGCTGGATGTTCCACCCATAGATGCAGCAGCGGACCAAGGTAATAATGAAGTTTTTGATCAAATTGATCCAAGCTTTGCTGGAATAGCCAGAGGGGTAGAACAAGTACTGCAGCGGCTCAAGATTATCGAACAAGAGATAAGGGACTTGAAGCAGGAGATTCAAGGGCTGAGATACTATGAACACAGACTGCTGATCGAGCTTCACCGCAAGGTCAACTACCTTGTGAACTACAACACCCAGATTGAAGAGAGGAAAGTACCAAACATGTTCTTCTTCGTCAGAACCGAGAACTACTCCAGAAGACTGATCACCAACATGATCGGTGGAATGAATGCTCTCCGGCTACACATGCTATGTGAATTCAGGCGGGAAATGCACGTTGTTGAAGATCAGATGGGCTGTGAGGTGATGCAGGTCGACAACAGGGCAGTGCAGTGTTTAGCTCCATACATGAAGAAGTTCATGAAGCTAGTAACTTTTGCATTGAAGATAGGAGCTCACCTTGCTGCTGGAATGGGAGAAATGATACCCGATTTGAGCAGAGAGGTTGCTCATTTGTCTGGGTCTTCTCTTGTGTCTGGAGCAGCTGGGGCAGTTGCTGTTGGAGCCCTAGGGGCTGCAGCCATGGGAAGGGCGGAAGGAATGAGGAACAGAAACTCAAGGGACATACAACAACAGGAACTCAGAGCAGCACAACAATGGGTGGTTGATTTCTTAAGGGACCGTCAGTGTTCTTCAGGAAGGGACATTTCTGAGAAGTTTGGACTATGGAGGGTCAGGTACAGGGATGACGGGCAGATTGCATGGGTTTGTAGAAGGCATATGATCACTAGAGCTAATGAAATAGTTGAAGCACCCATCTGAAGATTTTAAGCTTCTTATGTTCCCTCTGTGTTATTAAAAATTATGTTCATTGATTTACAGCAGAGGTTTCCTGGAGCTTTACTGATTATAGTTGTTCCACTTTCAAAATCAAGAGCACCCACATGTTCAAATCTGACAGTCATCTTTATTCTGTAAGATATAGATATTTTGCTGATGAATGATACCACCCAACTCTTTCCACTTTGATCCAGTATCCTAAGCTGATGGGTAAATAATCAGACCACAAAAGAGGAAATTTGTGCAAGACAGCTAAAAGCAAACATCATGAACATGCTTTGGCCTTGCTGACTTATGCTGCACCTCAAGTCACCATGTGACAGTGGGGCCATATCCATAACCATTTAATCAGTATAATTTGCATTCATCACTAGCATATAATTAGTTTGAAAACTTCATTTCACCATAATTCAAAGGTTTGAAAATTAGCAGAACAGACAAATAGAACAGAAAGAAGAAGAAAAAACGACAGTTTGGAAAGGGAAATTTTGCATGTATACAAACTGCAAACACAGCAGGAATAGAAACAAAGCTGAGAACCGCACCAGCATACAAGTCATAATTTCCCCGTCATCTCTAAACATCTCAACATGGACCCAAGGTAAGGGGGGAAAGAAACGAAAGGGAAGAAAAACAACACACACTACTACATCATGAATTATTACAGTTCATCACTATCAGTACTTAGTCTCTCCATGGGTGGAAGGGAAGTCTAACTGTTGTCACCTGTGCGTTTTCCCCCGAACTCTGAAACTAGCAGTAACTAAGAGAGAGCTCAGAAGAAAGCCCTGCTCCCATAAAACACTCGGGAACCTGTTTTAGTTGATGAGGGTGTTTTCTGCTGCTCGGAGTTAGAACTGCCTGAACTGGCTGGCCCGCTGTTATCGATGTCCAGTGGAAGCTTCATCTTTGCCAATGACTCGGTGAATTGCTGCATGCTCTTCATGTACATGTCAACTATGTCTTGCTGCACAACACCCTGCTCTGACTCCATTTTCATAGTAACAACAGGCTTGGTAACTTCCTCCCTTGGAGTGCCAGCTGAGGAGTCAGTTTCCCCATTTGCAGCATCTATGCCCTTATCCTCTTTGCAAACCGAGTTGTGCTCTTCAGACTGAGTCTTAGAGTTGTCTGAGCTCACACCATTCGAAGGAGATGAGACGACTCCATTGGTTGTTGACACACTGCTTGGAGGAGAATCAGGCTTATTAGTAGCTAGGGCAGAATCTACTCTAGCAGCTGAGAAGCTTTCCACTCCATTAGCAGTACATGTGGCTGTGCTGGTATGGCTGTCAGCAGCATCACAAGTGACCAAACTCTCAGAGGTTTCAGAGTCATCCAGATTGGTACATGGTGTCCCAAAATACTCAGAAACCATCATCTGGTTTTCATTTGCAACGTTTGGATCTGGAAATTCAAGCTTGTCGAGTTCACATTCGAGTGATTCCTGTACCTCTGCATCCCGCATGATTCCATCAGCAGCAGGAATTGCCATTACATCAGGGGTAGCTCCACTGTAAGAGAGTGAGAGTTGAACATATCCAGCAGGTGAATGGAAGAGATCAGTGGAAGAAAGAGAGAACTCTTTCTCCAACTTCCCATTCTTCATAACAACTTCGGACAAAGGCACCAAAGCAAATCCCAGCAACTGATCCTCAAGGTAGTTCCTCACCCGACTCATCATGAATATCTCGCACTTAAGGGAGCAGTCGACTGTCTTGACATTAATCCTCAGATTCTGGTTGAAAACCGGGTTCCTGCCACCACCATTGATGGTATTGGTAGAAACGGTGTTTTCAGGATCACTGGTGAGGCAAACCTTAGCATAAACATCTTGTTTGTGGTAGATGCATATGTTATGAATGTCCCTAGCCTGATGTACATAAACCTCAAGCATTCCGATGAAGTTGTCCTCCACGTGGCCATTAGTTGCCTTCCTGGTACCCTCCTCCTTGGTTATGCTGCTGACTGCACTCCTAACAGAATAGTCAGTTTTATGTTTCTCTGGCTCGGTAGTTACAGCATTCTTGAATGGTGAAACAACAGACTGTGGAGAATCCATTAGCAGCCCTGGCTGAAGTTTAGACCTGCAATATCACACAAAGCAAGTTCCATTCACACACAGAGAGAAGATAGCACAACTTAAAGGAAGTTGAAATTCCCATTACCATTTCAACAGTTCCAAAGATGAAAGGCTCTAGTTTATAACGGACTCAGTTCAACCATGAGACGCTCAAAAGCAAGAACAAGAACCAATACGAGCCTAAGATGCATACTCCAAGCCCTAATTTGTGCAGCAACAGCGTACCAAATGAACAGAAGATGAATAACAAACTGAGATCTTTGTAAGCTAGGCGTCAAGAACAGATGGCAAAAGCAACCAAAAACCTCAAGGTTTCAAAAAGTTCAAACCCAAAACTCTGCATTTTAAGTCAACTGCCCCATATCTGAATGAACCCAGAGATCAAAGAACACTGTGAGTGGTCATACAACTCGGAAAAGGAAAGCGAGTTAAAAAGAGCACAAATTTCATAACTTCCTCAAACAACCCTACGGACAAACTCCCACACCCATGTTACGCTTAAACCTAAAAGAAAAGCAGAGCCCCTAGTCAGCAGTTCATATGACCGGATTCCAATGAAGTCGCCGACTTTGTAGCTCATAGGCCGGAATCCAAGGGAAGTAAAACAGGGGGAAAGCAGGGAACTTTGCAAACGGACAAAAGAAAAAAACCACCACAAAATCCGGCTCCAATTCCTCGACAATTGTCTGTCGGGAAACCAGGAGAATTCAAAAGATATTTACACAATTCATGCCCTAAAGCGACAAAATTTCCCAAGGTAAGAAGCTGAGGTCCATCAGAAGGAAATCCACAACAGAATTCACCTCAGAAACCTTCACACGTAGAGAAAGCAAGGGCAAGGAAATGAACCTCGAGAACTCCAGAAACTAATCACAGCACACAACCGTCGAAATGAAAGCTTAAGCTGAAGAAATTAAACTGGAGGAGCAGTGGGGAAAAAAACCCAGGAAACAGGATATTGCTGAAGAGAGCCCACCTTTTGTCTTTCCACAAACAAAGTCAAAAAAGATACACAGTCGACGAGAAGCCCCGAGAACCAAAGCTGTGCTTGAATTAGATAGGAAGTATTAAAAAGGTTCAATCAACTCAGCCGCTGATGACCCAATTGGCCAATTCACCAATCAAGGCCTCTGTTTCGTCTCTTTTGCCTCTCACTTTCCTCACCCTTTACTTTAATCCGTCCCCAGAGAAAAGGAAGCAAAAACAAGCAACAGTCTAGAAGGAGGAGAAGTGGCGAGAATGAGAGAGCAGAGCAGGAGAAGAACAAAGGAACAGTATCTACGGGATCATAAAACTTTGGAGGAAAAACAATCAAAGTTAGGTCTATAGTTATACTTGCTTTCTCTCTTTCTCTCTCGCTGGCGGTAGGAGTGTATTCCGTTTTCTTTATACAAGTATGCAAATTTGTCAGTTTGTACAGACGAACAGAGACTCGCTCACTCGGAGGAGAATCAAAGACGAGATAGGGAGGAAGAAATTTGAGAGGTATTTCTTTGTTTTCTTTCTTCTTTTTATGTAGACAGCGGGAAGAAATGGGCGATGGAGGATAGAGCGACAGCGGGGCATGCCAGAAATGGGGAGGCGACCGCCCAATTGCATTGGTGATTGGTGGCTGGCTGCTGCGTGGGGCCGGCCGTCGCTGGTGGGGTGGCGGTGGCGCAGCCCCCGTGACTGTCACTCTGACTCTTTGGGAAAAGCTGGGTTTTAAAGAAACAGCCTATGGTACTACTATACTATGGTAGGGACATGAAGCAAAGCATTCGCGCCCCCCACCAGTCCACCACCATGAATGAATTCCAAAGAAAACAGAACCCTAATTTACTTACCTAACTGCTTATGTGTGTCTCATGTTCTAATGATAAAATTGCAACGTAGCTGTAATAAAGATTATGATGAATCGCAAAACCATATAGTGTTCAATGTAATGTGTCATGAATACTTGGAAGTTTGAACAAACAATCTCATCGGTTGTCCTAATCATCATCTTTTCCAAATTTCCTTTTAGGGTCGTTTGGAGAACGGGATTTAGAGCATGGATTCATTAAATCCGTAGATATTGTAGAAAGTTATGTTTTTTTTTGTTGCTTTTTGTATTATGGATTTTAATTTTAGAGATTTCAAATCTCTAAAATCTACGGATATCAAATCTCACATAATCCGAGAGATTCTATATCTTGATTCGTGAGATTTTTTTTCTCCAACCTTTTCTCTTTCTTTTATTTATTTATCATATTAAATATATTTATCAACAAAATTTTTAATATTTCTCGAACCATTCTAATTTTTTATTAAGGATAAACATATTATTTAATATAAAATTTTTAATTTTATTTTCATTGAATGTTAACAATCACAGTTACCAAACAATAAACATTTTAAAATCTATTTTCATCAATCCGAATAATTAGAATCTTTAGATTGTTGACAATCTATAGATTTAAACTCATATTCTCCAAACGACCCCTTAGTGTGAGCCCTATAATAGAAAGAAGCAAAGAGCGTCGTCGATTTTGCGACCGAAAGGTAGACATCAAAATTGAACTGGAAAGATTTGGGGGTCGTTTGGATGTGGAAATTTGAAAATGTGGGAATTTGGTTGAATTTCAATATTTTACAAAATCAAGGAATTGACTTGCGGAAATTGAATGAAATACCACGTGTGGATAGGGGTGTCCATTCGGGTTTACCAGAAACCGACCCGATTATAAACATTTTCGGTTTTTCGGGTTCGGGTTCGTTTCGGGTTCGGTTTTGCTTATCGGTTTTTTGGGTTCCGGCTAAAACCTCCAATGAATAGAACTCAGCCCGTATTTTTAGGCGTTCGGGTTTCGGTTTTGCTTTAACCGAACCCGAACCTGATAAGGAATTTTCGGGTAACCGAAACCCTCAAGTCCTTATCGGGTTCGGGTTCGGTTTTAGTGATTTTCGGTTTCAGGTTTTTGGGTTTTTTGGGTTTCAGTTTGGGTAACCGAACTCGACCTGAACTGACACCCCAACGTGTGGATAGGATTTATTTTTGTGGAAATTGTTGGCGTGGATTTTGGTGATAATACAAAAATGCCCTCTTCTGTTTATATGCATACCCTTCCTAAAGGTTGTTGTTGTGTTCTAACTAACTACTAATTGCCTTTGTTACATCGGCTTCTTCCTCTTAGTCGGCGTTCCAATTAAGAAGAAGGAGAATTGATGGCGGATGAGATAATTAAGCGAATCCAAAAGTAAGAAATCGACGACGGATGAGAGGAGATATACGAAGGTGAGGGAAGATGAAGAAGAGGCGCCACTGTTGAATGAAGAAGAATGGGTTGTTTTGTAAGAAATAGGTTGGAGTAACGAAGAAAGGAGAGGAAGGACAAAGGGGTACATTTGAAAAAGAAAAAAAAAAGTGGTAATGTCAAATTACTAGGATGAGGTGTAGTATTCTCAATTACCATGAATGTGGTAATTAAAATGAATTTCCATGATTCAATTTTCATACACTTTTTCCTCTTCCAAACGTGGGTTTTCAATCCAATTACCACACAATGCATTAATTGGGTCCAAATACTGCATAACATTTCCACATCCAAACGACCCCTAAATGACTTATGCTAAGTAGCAAAGAGTCAGTGCCCCAATTTAATTCATCAATAGCTTCCCTCATGTTGTTCGCACTCATCACTCTTCTCTTTCATCTCTTCGCTTTCTTCTCTCGATCTCAATATGGACAAGTCAAACTCAAATCAATGAAAAAATATAAAAAAGAACACATGCATATGTGGGAAATATCTACAAGAATACACAATTTAAAAAGAAAATAGGGAAACCGTTGATCTGGTTACCAACCAATTATTTTGATTATTTTATCTAACCTTCTGAATCACTTGATAAACGACTAGTTTGTTAACCAACAAAATAACCCATAACCAATTTATACAATTGTAATTAATTGACTAATATAAATGTTGTGGTTAACAATAAACAAAAATTGTTTAACAATTAACCTATAGCCTAACAAGGTTATAACTGATTAACAACTATAAGGGATCGTTTGCTTCGTAGATTTGAAAAATAAAGATTTTGGTATAACTTGGGTTTTGATAAACCATGAATATATGAGGGTTTTTGGTTCATTATGGATTTGAAAAAGACCATTGTTTGCTTCATGGATTTCATTATGGATTTTGTTAATTAAATTTGTATGTATGAAGTGAACTTTACCTTTATTGCCCTCAATGATATAAGAAGAGGAAGAAATATGAGGGATAGGTTGGTAAAAAATTATGGACTTTAAAGTTCTTATCAATTCTCACCTAAAAAGGTGGGATTTTCAAGTCTATGGGCCCACAGATTTGGTACTTCTAAATACATGAAGCAAACAAAGAATTTTGGACAAAGTCCATCATGAACTCAAATCTATCACCAAATCCATCAAGCAATCAAGCCATATTAGTAGGAATGACAATGAGGCGGGTTTGCTTTCAAATTTTCAAACCCATACCCGCCCCATACCCATGTGGGGAAGGTTTTGCAAACTCATTCCTTACCCGTGGGTTTCGGGTGCCTATGGGTAATACCCGCCCCGTAAATCCAACATTATAATATAAAAAAATTTACATGTAAGTTTTCATAACATTAAACACACCTACTATATCATGAAGTTGATAAAGAGATTATCATTCTTAATACGCTTCAAAGCATCTTATCCTAAAATATAAATTAATCCTTAAGATAGAGTATGATGTAATCCAAATCATTATTCTCTAGCTCTTATACATCAACTAAGTAATGAGTAACTAACATAATATTGTTAACACAAGTAAAAAAGTGAAATAGTGAAGCAGTGGCGCAGCCAGAATTTTGTTTTAGGGGGTGCCGATTTAAAAAAAAATTGTTAAGTTCACTTCCCTAAATCTGAAGCTAAGTTTAAAATGGTTTACCGGGAGAGATTGTTGTAACCGTATTGGTGTAGTCGAGTTAGAGTTAAATGTAGGTGCATTTGAGGAATTAACTTCATGCCCTTGAACATTTGGAGCTGTTTTGACAATTTTTTATCAAGATTTCTCCGTTGTAAAAACTACATATTTAAAAAAACGGAGTAATCAAATAATTAATTGAAAAAACTCAATTAGATTCGGGACAATAACAATAAGAACCCACAATGACAATCTCTACCTACGGGTTGGGGCGGTGATAATGGAAAATTGGTCAATTAGGGTGGGGTGATCATGCTACCTATAGGCTACCTTTTGTAGTGGAAGAAGCCTGGAAGAGAATTTGATTACTAGATTGGTTTGTTATCGTTTCGATACTTTTTGGATAAAAGTATTTGTTTTAATATTTTTTTGTCCCAACTACTAAATGTCCAAAACCACAAGTACGTGTGTAATTTTAATGAGCTCTCTCCAACATATATTTATTTTGCCTTTGTTGATCCCAAAGCAATGGTGTGCATTGGCACCCCCTCCTCCGGTACTAGCTACGCCCCTGGAGTGAAGAGAGAGTTGAGAAAAGAGAATTATGTTTTGATTTGGGCGGTCACTCAATTGCATTTCTAGTTACCCTCACTATCATTGATAGATTACAATTTGAACCATGTAT